CCCAATTAAGGCTAGATTAGGGTAGTTGAATTTGGTTCCAAGTAATAATTAACTAATATTTGATTTCCAAGCATTCTTAGAAGAACAGGAAGTCTTGAGCTAACCTTCCAAACATTTTTGTCACCTCAAATATGCTATTACCCTTACGAAAATAAACAGTGAAAATATTGTCAGAAAAAGAGCATTATAGAAGAACTGAGCTCTAAAAAGTATGTTAATAACAGCTGACATTATAACCTGATAATTTCCCACAACACGAATACTGCCTTTTCATTTTTACTGTGTTTTTAAACATATTATTTGGCTCCATGAATTTCAATTCTTTATGCTTTTGAACAAATGGTTGAGCTCCCAGGAAAAGGGCAGACTCAAATTCAATACCGATTATTGAACTTTTGTTGACAAACTTTTTCTCCCCCCTCAATAACTTCTAATTTAAGTCAAGGATTTCCAAAATGCAGAGGTCACATTATTTTTTTTTTCCACATAACTTGTCCTCAGAATTTTCTAGAGAATTGGAAGCTTAACAAATTCTTTAAGAACAGGGAGAATGTAACAGACACATGCAAACTGTTTTTAAAATAAACCCTCATCTGAAAGAATCTTATTTTTTTCAAGGTACTGCTCTTTCACTAAGCCTACCCAATGCTTTTACTCCAGGCTTCTCAGTAATTAATAATTCTTGATTAAGAGAATTAATATTATTACTTTGCATCACTATTACTACTATTATCAATTGACTTGCCCAAGGTCACGTACATAGTAAATACAACACATTACATATTTTTTTACTTTTTATGTGCTGTGATTTAAGAGTGTGTGTTAATGAACCAAGCCAACCTTACAGTCCTCAGAGCAGAGACAGAGGCTTTCATTGTTGGTGTTTTGCCACTGAAAACCCAGTATAGTTCTGGACCTAGAAGAAGTACCTGGCATACAGAAAGAACAGTGAAGGAATGATGTGATTAGAGGCAAGTAGACGGTGAGAATTAGAACTGCCCTCCCCCAACCAAAAAAAAAGCATGCCCAGTTTAAAGGAAAATTTATTCTCTTGGATTTTTTGTTGCATTTCTTGTAAATGACCATTTAATTCTCACTATTAGAAAACCATATTTCCAAAATTATCTAAGCAAAAATTTTGTCTTTGATGCGGTTTTCTAGTGAATTCCAAACAAATTCATGGTTTTGGGAAAACTACTATAAGTGCTATACTGCTTTAGTTTTTGAGGACTGAGGAGCATTAAATTCAGAGTAGTATTTTCCACTTAAAAAAAAAATAATCCATCTTAGTTTCAATTACTTGAAGGAAAAAAAAGGAAAACTTTTTTCTTTTTCAAATATGACCTTTTAGAAATTATTTTGTAATCCTCTTCCCTAAGTGAATTTTCAACTCTTTACCATATAGGTTCTTTCCTCATTAATGGAAAAATCAGCTCTAATTTGGTGGATAAACATCAATTAATTACTGAGAAGCCCCAATCATTACTGAGCCTTTGGTATTGATAAGACATTCAGGGTACCCAGAAAAACTTCAACTTATCATCTTATCTTGTGTCCCTGTTCGAAGAACTACATTGAAATGCTGGGCTTGTTTCAAATTTCCTGTGAAAGTGTTAAAAACCTTTATCTCTCATAAACTATTTTAGAGAAATTTCACATGATGGATGATGTATCCAACCCGAGATCCATAACCAGACAAGTTCAGGCTTGCATCTAGTGTATTCAAAAAAGAAATAAAAGCAGAATGACTGGATTTTTTCTTACCCAATAATATATCCAATATAAAGGTAACTTTTCTATAGGTTAATTTCAGAGGCCTTGAAGAACAAGAGCCTAGCTCTTCATGCAGGAGCTTTGGTTTGCACTATTTTCTTCAGTGGTATCTGAGATTCTGTATCTTAAAGGGTTAAATGCAGAAGAATTGACAAAGTGTGAACATGAAGAAATGCAACATCATTCTGCTATTATTATATATCACAGTATTTATTCAACAGTGTAAAAAGTTATACACAATTATCTATTAGTCACTTGAAGGCTATGGAACCATAGGCAGTGCTGAATACCCTTTCATACTCCCATTTTTCTTCCTAATGTTCATAAGAATGCCTAAAAGATTAGTTCTAAATTTCAAGAAATGAAATGTTTGAAATAGTATATACATCATTTCTGAGGACAAAACACAGGCTAATTGGTTTTTTCTCCAAACTTAAATAAAAGTGCTGCATTTTGGAATATTAGAGCAGAATAGCAAATGCCAGACCTCAAGAATAATAGTAACTCTAGATTTTGGAAAGGAAAAATTGGCTTGTCAGTTATAAAACCATTTGGGATCCAAGAGATGAAAACATGATTGCTGACATATTTACTAATTTATTTGTAATTTGCATATTTATTTGTGTTAAATCAGATACAATTCCTATTCAAGTATGTCTCTGATTGTATATATATATATATTTTTTCACTTAAATGTCTTTTATTCTTTGTTCCTATTGTCAACTATGTTTCCAAAATTTTGTCTTTGGAGATTTCAGATCTGCAACTGTATTTTACCAGAGCTATTTAGTTCTGCATTTGTGATAATATTTTAAAAGGAGGAATGAGTACCTGAAGGAATCTTATAAGACTTCCTCAGAATCTGTAGCTGTTATTGCCATGTATACTTATCTATTTCTTTTAAATGCTATGAATCATCATAAATGGCAGATTTGTTCTTGTGGCATCCTGAAATGATCGCGTGGAAACTGTGCCCAGCACTGAATTGTAAAACAATCCATCTTCAAATACTTTGCACACTTCTCCTCTACTGTCTGCATCGACCCTTCTGGCTATTTTTTGGTGTTTCAGTGATTGCTTTTTTGTTGGGTCTTGGAGAATTCAAAGCTATGAAATTGAGAACTCATATTTGAACACAATATTAAGAGTAGTACAATCTGTAGTGAATTTGTGTATGTTATCTAGGATCACCTATTTGGGGGATTGCATTTTAAACTTTTCCTTCACTTCAGTCATGCATCAGGATGTATTGGTAAAACTTGTTTTGTTCTGTTTATTCAAATTGATTAATAATCCCATTCTTTATTATGTTTAAAGGGAATTAATTTTAGTTTTCATGGTAAGAAAACAGTTTAGGAAAAAAACCCATCGAAGCCTCTTTATTTTCTATGTTTAGTCATCCCTATTTTGAAAATTTAATACTCTTTTTTTTTTTTTTTTTTGCCGTTAAAGGTGACTGTACAAATGTGTGAGTCCCAAAGTGCAGCCTTTGCCAGCACAAAGGCCAAACAGGTGAAGGTGTTTGCCTAGGTTTTTTAAAACTGCATTCCCACATAGAATTTGTGAATGACAGATGCTGCAGGCTTTTCAAAGGAACTAGAAAATTTAATAAGCTTAATATACAGGTTACGATAAAGAGTGCACTAAAATGATTTTTTGAATAAAATAAAATAAAATAAACCTCGATGTTACCTTTCTTTTAAACCGTCTTTCCTTTTCTTGAGGTTGTGGGATTTCCTCAATACTTGTTTCATTTCTGCAAGACAAGGGCTTCCAGATGGCGCTCTAAAGCGTTTGCCGGAAGGTGGCGACATAAGCCCTTATTGATTAGAGCTGTCCCGGGTGCTGAACATAGTTTCAGCGTTTAAGAGTAGTTCAGCGGCCAGCGACCAGAGATTCCACCAAGTTCCCCCTAGACTTTTGTAGGCTTTGGTAAGAAACCAAAAAGGTCATATGAAATGCCCCGGCCTCTTTTACAACTCATAGGCAAAGTATTTCCTTCCCTAAATTTACTCGCCCCAAAGCTATGAAAGTGTCAGTGCTCACTTCAATTAAACGGATAGTGGTGATGGAAAGGTGTTGTGTGTGTGTGTGTGTGTGTGTGTGTGTGTGTAGATTACATACCGAATTGGGTTCTTCTTTTACTTTGAGATGCAGCTGTTTACCCGTCCTTGTCCTTTGATATGCCCTTTATAATTCCTTTCTCCCCCAATTCCCCAAGATTATGAAGAAGAAGGGAAAAAAAAAAAAAAAAAGTGCAGCATCCTCCCCAAGGGAGTCAGGCTGGACTGTGAGATAATTAAAGGGGTGGTTTTTAAAAAAGCTAAGACACACTCCATCTACTTCCCATCAATTAACAATGATTTATAGACTGACTCAGGGCTGTCCACCTCCCATTCCCACTCCGTGTGCCTCCTTTACTGATTTCCTATTTCCATTCTGTGATGTTCACGCTATTTAAGAATCTAACAGAAATCGGAGGCAATGGGTAGTTAAAAAAAAACAAATTTCCCCTCGAGTTTAGCTGGGTGGAAGGCGGAGTTTACTTGCTGTAATGTTGGTCTGACCAAAGAATCTGATGTGTGTAAGCTAGTTTTGAGTCTCTGTACACAAAAGGGCTTGAAAGTAAAATGCCAAGCTGCGGGGTGAGGGGTGGGGGGCAGGAGCCAGAGGAAGGAGACAGCGTTGGGGAAGTGTGAGGAGGGGAGTGATGGCGTGGGAGGGAGGGAGATTGGCTGTTGGAGAGACACACAGAGGGATAAAGAAAGGGGAGTGAGAAGGGAGAGGGAGACTGAAACGGAAGGCTAGTGGGAAAAAGCACGGTGGTGGAGGGAGGAGGCTGGAGAGAAGAGAGTGGAGGAGACAGTGGAAGAGAGGGAGGGAGAGGAGGGTAACAGAGTGACCGCGGAGGATGGGGTTTCTCTGTTCAAGTTACTTCTGGGATTGGAGACTGTTTGCTAGTGGAGAGACTCCGGCTCAGGCAACCAGCTGAGCAGCGACAAAGTAAAATGGACAGCAAGAGACAGACGTTACAGCTACCTCTCCACCGCTGAGCGTTCTCCAGCCAGCTTCAGTGGCCCAGCTGACGTCTTTGACTGCGCGGGACCACCGGAGCCCAAGCAGCGCCTAGAAGCCGCTCGGGCGCGGATGCCTTCGCCAGAGAAGTAAGAACTTCCTGCCCTGGTCCCTGCACCTTCTCTCCGGAAAAGCCCCAGGAGGGGAGAGAGGAAGACCCCAGGGGGAGGAGCAAGGGGGGATCCTAGCGCTGAGCTTTCTCCCCTCCCCTGCCCCCGCGGGGCGCACAGGCATGGATGTGCTCAGCCCTGGCCAGGGCAACAATACCACCTCAGCAGAGGGTCCCTTCGGGGCAGGGGGCAATGCTACTGACATACCCGACGTGACCTTCAGCTACCAAGTGATCACCTCGTTGCTTCTGGGCACGCTCATTTTCTGCGCTGTGCTGGGCAATGCGTGCGTGGTGGCCGCCATCGTCCTGGAGCGCTCCCTGCAGAATGTAGCCAACTATCTCATCGGCTCACTGGCCGTCACCGACCTCATGGTGTCGGTGCTGGTGCTGCCCATGGCAGCTCTCTACCAGGTGCTCAACAAGTGGACGCTGGGCCAGGTCACCTGTGACCTGTTTATCGCGCTCGACGTGTTGTGCTGCACGTCATCCATTCTGCACCTGTGCGCCATCGCGCTGGACAGATACTGGGCCATCACTGACCCCATCGACTACGTGAACAAGAGGACGCCCCGGCGCGCCGCTGCTCTTATTTCTCTCACTTGGCTCATTGGCTTCCTCATCTCCATCCCACCCATGCTGGGCTGGCGCACCCCCGAAGACCGCTCGGACCCCGACGCCTGCACCATCAGCAAGGACCAGGGCTACACTATTTACTCCACCTTTGGCGCTTTCTACATCCCGCTGATGCTCATGCTGGTTCTTTACGGGCGCATTTTCCGAGCCGCGCGCTTCCGCATCCGCAAGACAGTTAAGAAGGTGGAAAAGAAGGGAGCAGACACCCGCTGTGGGGCCTCGCCAGCGCCGCAGCCTAAGAAGAGCGTGAATGGAGAGCCAGGGAACAGGGACTGGAGGGGGGGCGTGGAGAGCAAGGCAGAGGGTACTCCTTGCTCAAATGGCGCGGTGAGGCAGGGCGACTACGGCGCCGCCCTGGAGGTGATCGAGGTGCACCACGTGGGCGACTCCAAAGAACACATTCCGCTGCCCAGTGCGGCCCCCAGCGCGCCCGCCTTTTTCGAGAGGAAAAATGAACGCAACGCTGAGGCCAAGCGCAAGATGGCCCTAGCTCGCGAAAGGAAGACGGTGAAGACGTTGGGCATCATCATGGGCACTTTCATCCTCTGTTGGCTGCCGTTCTTCATCGTAGCCCTGGTTCTACCCTTCTGCGAGAGCAGCTGCCACATGCCCACTCTGTTGGGCGCCATAATCAACTGGCTGGGCTACTCCAACTCTCTGCTCAACCCTGTTATATACGCCTACTTCAACAAGGACTTCCAAAACGCGTTTAAGAAGATCATTAAGTGCAAGTTCTGCCGCCGATGATAGGGGAGTAGCCGGCGAGTAGGGGGCTACAGGACTCTTCCTACCCCCTTTGCCTCCCTAAGTCCCCCTGGGAACAACAACCACTATAACTTGCTACTTTTCCTCTTCCCCAGCTAGCTGCTCTGCCCGCGCTGCTTCCAGGCCCAGTCCTCCTCGGGCCAGAGGAGGGCGCTCTGTGCAAAGAGGCCCCAGAGGTGGGGAAGGCGGCTCAGAAAGGAGGGCTCAAGCTTCTCCAGGCGACGTTGGCTCAGACTTTGACCTCTGCATCCGTTTTGGTTCCAGCAATTGCCTGCTCCCTCTTCTGCCTACCCCCCACCCCTAAAATCTTCCCGGCATAATGTTTAAACCTCAGTCATTTAGGGCAAAAAATCCAAACAGAAAATAAACTGTTCACAGCAGCTGCATCTACTAACGACACCTACTTCTAGCGCCCCACGTCTAGAACTTGGACTTAAAGTTCAGGACTTTGCTCCATTTCCCCCGCCCTTTTGCTATAGGAAACTTCACTTTCTTTAGATCTCATGATCTATCTCTTCTCTCCTTTCCTAGCTTCCCTGTGCTAATTTGCTTGCCTGAAAAGGTGGGAGGGTCCGCTTTTCTGGCCAATGTAGCCCCAGGAATCCCTGCCTCCTCGCGCAGACTACTTAGAATAACTCGCCTATGCACAACACTTGCTTGCTTTGCTTTCTTGAACTCAAAGCAAGTGGCCGGAAGATGTCTCTTACAGTGGGCTTGTAAGTACATGGCTGGGACAGTGGGGGAAAGTGAGGAGGGAGGGCGGAGGACTTATTTCGAGTTTGCCTAGGTGTCCACACACACCGAAGAAACTGACAATCGTACAGTGGGAGGAGGAAAGCGGGCTTCCGTCTGTATAGGTTGCTGCCGAGTCTGCACGTGCTGGCAACGCCACTTACCCACTGCAGGAGGCGCGCGTGGCAGCTGTGTGTGCACTTGGGACGCCCAGCGGCCTGGGATCCTCCGCTGTGTGCTGTTTGCGGTCTGGCTTGCCCTGGGCTCGCGGGGCCGCCTGCTCCCTGGGACCCTACCCAAACGGCCCCGGGACGCGCAGGTGCTCCAGAAGACACCAGGCTTTGCGGAAGTCGGCAGCGCTAGGTCAGAGCTCTTAGGGTCGGAGAGACCAAGAGGTGGCGGAGATGCCAAGCGCGCAGCGAAGAGGAAGGGCTCCCGGGGCGGGGTGTGCGCACGGGCGGGTCCTCTAGCTGGCGCTCCCAGTGAAACAAGGAAGGGCAGTTTTATCCCTCGTATGTGGACTAAGAAAACAAAACAAAGGAAAAGAAAACAAACCAGTTGCAGTGGAGTCGTTTCTGACTCAACGGGATACCGTGTGTACTATCGCCAACTAATTGATTCCTTGGTCCTTTTCGGTGGAGGAAAATAGCTCCTAATACTGCACTGGATTTGTTCTGCAGGACGTACAGGACACAAGGAAAGTTACCATGACTTTCGAGGGGGTCCCGATATAAGTTTAGCACTATCTGTGACCTCAGAAGAGGATCCCTTAAATTGTGGGACCCCAAGGGACCGGCTAGGGGTGGGCCTCTGGGGAGCCTCTGAGAGTCTTGTACAGCGTTTTATTTTCTCCCTGGCGTGACCGTATTGCTCCACAAAAGTGTGGGAAAGCCAGCTTCTTGCCGCTTGAATTTATGGAACACTCTAGAGATCCAACCTTTGCCTCTCACTAAAGTTACTCTTTCAGCCTTGCTCTCCTGCTGAGAAACCTGTTACAATTTTTGCTGTCCCCAGAACGGGAAGTTATCTCGGTGCTCAGTTTGAATGTAAGTTTCTAACCACGTGGTGGGGATCAAGAGGTCTGACGTTGTTAGATCTAGCCTCTAATTTTCTAAAGAATGGTGGTTCGTTTTCCAGTACTAGCAGAAAGTTACTGATTTTTACTTCCCTCTTCCTTCCACTGTGACTTTTGAAAGTTTGCTTCAGCTGTTTTGAGAACCGTGTTGTATTTACGGTTTGCAAAATTTGCCAGTGAAAAGTTCACTTGTGTTTTTGGTTAAGAGGGGAAAAAAGCAGCGTTATCAATGAAGCTATTTTATTGTTTGTCAAACTGAAAAAAACCTCCATTTGATGTCTTTTTCCTTAACCTAAAATGGGTGTGGTCATCACATCCCATTAAAATAGAGGAAGCATAAGAACTTTGAGAATTCAATGGATGGTTTGGCTATGCATATGTGACGTTGACAAGGGGTTGTGGTGGAGAAGATTAAGGTAAGACTGCTCCAGTCCAACTTTAGTCATTGGAAACTTCAATTTCTTTTTTGCTCTCAATAATTCAAATAGAGCTATATGAGAAAACAAACTTTTCTGTATGTTTTACTAAATTTTTAGAACAAATTCTATATTTAAAATAATTCAAAACCAAAACGTGCTCATCTAAATTATGCCTTGGCCAGCAAGTACTACATTCTGAGTTTTAAAACTTCATTTATTTGTGTCTTTTACAGAACTGTATGACAACGGCTTTCGGACATGTATTCCTCCTGCTCTGGAGGATTTACACAAGAAGGGGGAAGGGGCGTTCAATTTGGGGTATAATTGCCAAAGCAATAGAGAAGGCAGAGGAAGAAGTGCAAAAGTGCTGTGTAGCTAGCTGTAAAGAGTCCCTGATGCTTTTTATTTTCTTTTAAAGCATTTGTATTAAGGCAAAGTATTTATGCATCAAAACTGGCCTTCACTTTTCCCTGTAACAATAAAGAGCTTTAATTATGGCAATGCTACAATAAACTGATATAATTACACATGCATTTTATTTTAATCAGAATATCTGTGTACTTGTATTTCTTTGAATAATTTTACAATTAGTTAAAAAAACAAACAAACAAAAACAAAAAAAAAAACAGTTATCAACAGAAGATCCTGCTCTGCAGGACAGGGATCTTACCTTTAGACAAGTAAGTTTAGTTTTCAGCACTGAAACTCAATCTAGATGAGAGATTTCTTTTAAAAAATCCTGTATCTGTAAAGATAAAGTCACATCTTATCATTCAGGCATGAAACCATGCATTTTCCCTGACTGACTTCTGCACATAAGATTCAGGTATCTGTCTAATTAACAGGGACAGGGTGTGGGAACATGCCAAAGAGAACTACAGCCTCGGTTAAGAGCAACAGAAGCCCATCTGCTCTTTTAAAAATCTTTTTTAAGCAGTGGACAGTGCTGAGACCTCTCCTCCATCTTCCCTACAACTTCTGGCCAGAAGGAAATGGCCACCCTTGGTTTCAGAAGAAGCAGCTCATCTGTTTTGGTGTTCATCATTCAATTAAAAGTGGAGGAAGATTTTTATTTCTGCCTGAATCTCATTTGATAGTGGAGTTCTATATGAAAGATGTATTACTACATTAAAATTAATTCTTATGCTCTCTCCCCTCCCCCTCCCCGGAAATAATCAGTAACAACTCTTGTTTCCCATGTTACACTTCCCTGAAATTATCTACAGGTAGGTGTGTAAAACCCACTGCTTTCCGGTGTCAGAATGACTGCTGCAGGGCAAGATGAGCCCAGGTAACTCCAAGGGTAAATAAAGGTCAGGGCTTTTATGGCCACGGCAGATAGCACCCTGAGCTACTACTGGGAGTCTAGTTTAGGCAATGTATGTGTATATATATATCCTCCCAATAATGAAATGTAGAGGTCAAAGAATTGAGAGAACAGTGCTGTTTTCAGTTTCTCAATTGAAAAGCATTACATAAATGCAAGGCTGACTTTGAGTAAAATGCTGAAGTTGACACATTTGCCTTTTGGATTCTGAATATACCCCTCTGGGCCCTTGTTTCTTGCTCTGGCATCTCTTCTTTCAGGTACACAATAGCTTCATGTTTTCCACAGGCCTTCCTGAGGCCTCTATCAAAACCTCAACTAACACAGAGAATTATTATCAGTCACTCCAGTGTGACTAATCGGTCTGCTAACCAATCAACAGCCATCATGTGACAGACACTCTTCCATAATACTGAAATATGGGGCTACAAATTAATATAAGATACTATAGTCACCCACCCTGAAGGAGTTTTCAGCCTACTTGGGTATACAGGAATAAACTACTAGGGGTAAGCAACTAGTCGTAGCAGGATATAAGTGCCAAATAAATAGGATGGATTATAGGGTCTTGGATCTATAAACATTCAGAGAACAAATATTAGTTTGGGCTGGGAGTCAGTAGGGAAGGGTGGGTAGGGAAAATTGTGTAGCACTCCAAGACTGAGCTTTGGAGACATGAGGGTAGTGGGAAGGGATTGTAGAAAGATAGACTTTTTTTTAATGAAGGGGTAAAAAACAACAACCTTATCCCTTCTTCATGGCAATTGAGGATATGGGATGAAATTTTGGGCTGAATTGCTGGATGTTGATAGACTAGGTTGGGTATGGTGAATTTAGAGAAAGATGCAGACTCAAAACCGCCCATATATTGTGTCAACCCAAAGGGTCTGGGAAGAGATAGAGAATATAGGTCTAAAACCAAAGGGATGAGGATTGGTATAACTAGATAAAAGAAAGACAGAGACCATGAATGAGGAGAAAATCATAAAAATATTAAAGGAGCTAATTAGGGGTAGGTACAAGACAGAATAATTCTGATTTATGTAATCTCTGTGATTTTGCCAAGCGATTTCCACACATTTAAATTCAACGCAACAGGTTTTTCTGGAGGTAGAAATTAGACCATTTTTGTCAAAGCACAGTACTCACATAGTGGTAGGTGATAAGCACAGACAAAGATGCTAGAGATTATTTGTGGAGGCGCTTAAGTACCAGGTTAAAAAGGTAACACTTCAGTTTTAGTCAATGGGCACCACTAACAATGAAAGCAGAAATGCTCTGTTTGGAGGCAATTTCAATGTGCAGGTGTGAAGCAGTAAAGGTCTCCATGTAGGATGCTGACAGAAGGAATGGAAAACAAACATGGCTCTGAAAAAGACATCAAAGAAAGAACTGGCAGGACCTGGCATCTGGATGTGAAGAGAGAGAGAGTTGAAGATGCC